TCTGGCTAACAAATTAAAAAATTTCTTGTGATTGGTGTTAGGTTTGAGGCCTATGGTTCTTTTTTTTTTTTTTTTTTTTTTTTTTTTGGTTTTTCGAGACAGGGTTTCTCTGTGGCTTTGGAGGCTGTCCTGGAACTCACTTGGTAGTCCAGGCTGGTCTCGAACTCACAGAGATCCGCCTGCCTCTGCCTCCCGAGTGCTGGGATTAAAGGCATGCGCCACCAACGCCCAGCGGTCTATGGTTCTTGTGAGGAGCATTGTCAGTCCAAGTGACAGAACGTCAGATATGTGTATAATATATATGTATACACACATATGTAACATGTACATAATTTGTATCACACACACACACACACCCTGACTCACCCCCCTGGTCCCAGCTAAAAGTATTTTAAATGATTTTGCAGTTCTCTTTGGCTCTCCTGTACCAGTGTGGCCACTTTCTGCAGCTAGGATCTTTACTTCTTTAACTGCTGAGCCTGGTGGCTGTCAGCATTAAGAAGGAAAAGCAGCATTGGTGACACTTGGGTGGATGCTCTGAACAGGCTGGGACTTCCAGCCATTCTCAGCCACGTTGGCACTGATCCGGGTGTGGATTACCACTGTGTAACCACAGGACAGTTCTACATGGCCAGAGATCTGCATGCCAGGAGCAAGGGCAGCTGTTACTAGCTGGCATGCTACTAAGACTACAGGCCCCTGTGAGACACTGACACTAAACTTTGTTAGTTCCTATCCTTGATGCCAGGGACTCAGTATGTCACCTGGCTGTTTCTGATCTTGGCTGCTGTCCTTCTGTGGGCTTCTCCTGAGTACTGCATTATTGGCATGTACCATGCCTGGAATCCCGGACATTTGTACACATGATTTTTCTGTTTTGTTCTGAGGCAGTGGTTTTTTTTGTTTTGTTTTGTTTGTTTTTTGTCCTGGAACTAGTTCTATAGACCAGGCTGGCCTTGAACTCACAGAGATCCACCTGCCTCTGCCTCCTGAGTGCTGGTATTAAAGGCATGTCCCCACCACCACCATCACCCGGCAAGACAGGCAAGACAGTGTCTTATGTAGCCCTGGCTGGTTTGAACTTGGTACATAGACCAGACTGGCCTTGAGCTCAGAGATCTGTCTGCCTCTAAGTGCTGAAATTAAAAATGTTAGCCAAAGATATCTTATTTTAAAATGCCCCAGAGCATGCCACCCAACCTTCTGTGTTTGTTTTAGGACAGCTGTGCTTTCGTGCCTCTGGTGTCCCGTTGTTGGTTCCTTGGTCAGGAACCATTTTTCCCTCTAAGAAGAAAATGCAGCTGCACCGCAGCTTGGGGAGGCTGAGGTGGACACCACAGTCAGTGTCGTAGATGCTCCCAAAGGACTGTGCAACAGGAGAGGGTCCTGCTCACTTGTCCCTGGGGCAGTCTTTGATCCCACACACACAGGCCAGACTTCCTTTCTGTCTGTCAGCACACATCTCCTAAGTTGATGTTATGTGCCTGTGATGTATAATACCTGTGGGCTTTTACATTCTTTACGGTTAGGTTCTGCCATTCTTAGAACTGGGTCACACTAAGCTGCTTATGCCCTCTCAGGGACAGCTCTTTGTGTCCTTGTGCTGTGAGGAAGGCTCTGTGCCCCAGAGGGTGTGCAGGCTGTGGCAGTCCTCTGCTCTGGATACTAGGTGACAAACAGGAGCTTAGCCCATCTGGGCTCAGGCTTGTCTGTCAGTATTTAAAGGGGTGCTCCCTGGCTGTTGCAGTCAGGACACTGTGACACAGGTGACGAGGACACAGCGTCCCATACAGTCCCACAGAGAAGCAGTGTGCGGTGCAGAGGTGGAGGCTACGTTTTTTTTTTTTTTATTTTCTGGAGCTTTCCTGGCTTTATTTGCCTTCTCCCAGTTGCAATCACCCCACCCTACCCAAACTTGTGTTTTCCAGCTTGTAAGGGGCAAGGGCAGTTGTCAGAGATGTGTTTGCTGTACTTGCCCTCTGAGCACTCACTGGCAGAAGGTGTTTTTCTAAACCTTGTAGCCAGCTTTGGCATTTTGGAGCAGGTTTGTTGGCACATGACTGGTGGCAGCAGCAGGAACAGAGCATCGTGTCTGCCTTGCTTGGATTCTGTCTAGAGGACACACAATCTGTCCTCCTTGTCCACACCAAGCGCATGAGCAGTAATGGGTGAAGCCTGGCCTCCAACCTGCCTCCGCACAGCCTGGAACCCTGGAAGACCATCCTGCTGCAGAGGCCTCCAGCCTGGGCACCGAGCTCAGGAGGGCTGGTAGCCTCATGGATGGCAGGATTGTTTGGGACGACACAGGCTATGTCTCCTAACTAGGCAATGAGATAGTCACATGGAAATTGGAGTAGAGAGTCCCCAGCACTGAGTGATTTTGCTCTCTAGAATTCTGCCAGGGGAAGACCTCAACACACACATCTCCTTACATCATCACCTCCTCTGCCTCCACGGGGTACACTTGTACCTCAGGTCCTCTGTGGAACCCTGCAGCATGGGCCAGCTCTCAGTGTGGAGCTCCAAGGAGGGCAGCTCTCTGAGCACCTCAGCCTTGATGGATGTCCTGGGTGGCACCCACTGCTTCAGCAGTTCTCAGACTGTCCCTGACCCACAGCAGCAAAACTTAGGAAATTCAAGTTCTCTAGTCTGCTCAGAACCAAAGAAGCTGGGGCCCAGTGGTCAGAGTCCTGACAGGAAAGTCACTGCGTGGTGGCAGAACTGAACCTGGCTTTGGGTGTAGTATAAGGTCTCATGTAAGCCAGGCTGCCCCTGGGTTGCTACACAGCTGAGGATGATCTTGAACTCCTGATCTTCCTGTCTCCATCTCCCAAGTGCTGTGATTACAGACATGAGCCACATATGTGTATGACTACGTGTATGATTGCCTGTCTGGATGTATTGTTGTGTGTGTGTGTGTGTGTGTGTGTGTGTGTGTGTGTGTATGTATGTATGTATGTATGTATGTATGTGTGTGTATGTATGTATATATGTATGTATGAATGTATGTATGTGTGTGTGTGTGTGTGTGTACGTATGATGTATGCAGGCCTGGTGCCCATGGTGGCCACTGGAATCAGGTTTGTGAGCTGCCTTGTGGGTACTAGAACTGCACCCTAATCCCTCACAAGAGCAGGGCATGGAGCTCTTAACTGCCAGCCGTCTGTCTAGTTTCCTGTGGTGATGCTGGTGTCTCTACATTGTTAGCTTGTTGGATGAGGCACACCACAGATCATGTGTGGATGTCTGCCATGTGGTTCTGGGGAAGGAACTCAGGTCCTGCAGCCCAGTGGGAAGTACCTCACCTGCTAAGCCATCTTGCCAGCCCCAGAACTATTTTTTCATTGTTTTCTTTTGCTGGTACGGATCTTAGGAGTCACACATGCCAGGCAAACACTACCATAGAACTAAACTAGCCCCTAATTTTTCTCTTAAAATATTTTATTATATTCTCTTTTCTTTTGCTGGTTTGCAGTGGAGACAAGGTCTCACTGTGTAGCTCAGGCTGCCCTTGAATTTAGGATCCTACTGCCCCAGCCTCTCAATGCTGGGATTATGGTTTACCCCACCATGCCCAGCTTTCGAAACTATCTGAAAGTGTTAAACCTATATGTCATGTAAGTCTTTACTCCTAGGTATTTAACCAAGGGAGGCCATTTGTTCACAGAAGGATCTGCCCCTGAATATTTGTAGTGCTTTACTGACAATAACCTTAAGCTAGAAACAATCCCATATTCATCAGTAGGTGACAGATAAAGAAATCACATGGTGTGTTTACACTGCAGAGTATTACTCAGCAATAACAACGGAGTTACACCCAGCATCACTGATGAATCCCATGCTCTGCTCAAAGGAACCAGACATCCTCAAATTTACAGGACTCTTATAGGACATCTACGGGTGGTGACACATGTATGTAATTCCAATACTCAAGAAACTGAGGCAGGAGGATTAAGAATTTGAGACCAGCCGGGTAGTAGCACATGCCTTTAATCCCAGCACTCGGGAGGCAGAGGCAGGTGGATCTCTGTGAGTTTAAGAACAGCCTGGTCTACAGAGTGAGTTCCAGGACAGCCAGGGCTACACAGAGAAACCCTATCTCTGAAAAAACAAAAAACAAACAAAGTTTGAGGCCAGCCTAGGCTACGTAGGTGGTTCAAGGTTAGTTAGTAATTACCAATGCTGCCTAGTAAGAGTCTGTCTTACACACACACAACTTAAAAAGTAAAATGAGGGTGGTAGGCAAAGAGGAATGGATTGTAAAGGAACACGAGGATGTTGAGTGGGATGCGAGGGTGTTATTTTAGAAGGTCTGGTGTCTGGAGTGTTTGTGTCAAATCTATCAAGTGGCACATGGTGGTTATGCCAGTTTACACACCATTCACATGTGAGCAGAGCACAAATGAGCATGTAGCATGAGGGTTGTGTGGGTGAGGCGGGGCATCTGCGTGGGAGGGAAGCCCTTCCTGGAGATGGCCATGGCGCTAGTCAGTCTACAGAGTGTACAGAGGCTGAAATGGGGGAAAGGGTGAATTTTCAGCTTGCTCTCTGCAACAGGGCCAGCTGGTGGCACTGCTGTGAGGCTGCCTGGACCCTTGTCTGAAGATAATGCTAACCCCACACCACACCATCTTGCCCTCTATACCTCGTGTCACAGCTCATCTTGCCACCCCTGTTCTTGCTTCTCTGTCCTTCCTGCCATGACTTCCAGCCCAGGTCCTCATGCTCCTGCGGTGACAGCAGGTGCCATGAAGAGGCTGAGCCACAGTCTATGGGATGTCTTCCGTAGTATCATGTGGTGTGGTCCCTGAGTTACCTTTGTCTTCGTCAGTGCCAAAACTGTACCTGGTGCTTGGTGTATTCTTCAAGTTATACCAGAATGTTCAGCAGACCCCTGCTTTCAAGATTCATCCCAAATTTGATTTTAGTAGCAAGAATCAAGGAGGGATTGCACGAGGTTTCCTGACTCGCTACATCCTTATCTCTTTGCCTTCCTACAGATCTGATTTGTATACACTGTAACCACTGTTTACCCAAGGCTGTCAGAATCCAGACCAAGGGCTCCAGCTCACGGGACTCCTCAGCACGTGAGTACCATGGGGCTGTGGCTACACAAGCAGGGATGTTTGTCTGGCGGAACACTCAGGTTTCCTGTGGCACCAGGCAGGCAGGTGTTACACACTGGTCAGGATGCACAAATCATGAAACATGTTGGTTTGGCAGTGAGAGAATGGTATGTCTGAAATCTCAGGAGACCAATAATTAAAATAATTTTCTTTTCCTTCTTGAGACATGGTCTCACTGAGTAGCACAGGCTGACCTTGGACTCACTGTCCTCTGCCTGGCATGTGCTACCATACCTAGCTCAATAATTTCCTTTTCTGTTGTTAAAGAAGATATTTTACATTTATATTTTATAGTAAACATTTTACTAATGAGAAAACATAGAACAGATACTGAACTAAGTCAGTATTAATTCCAGCACATCCCTGAACCCAGCAGAATTCACTTGGGGGGGGTTAGACTTGGCAGAAAGGGGTAAGGTTATCATTTACATTACCCAGGGTCAGTTCAAATCAATTCTGACAGTAATACAATTTGAAGAGCATGCATGACCTTCAATTCAAGGCTGAGGGTTTAGCTCCCTTGGTACTTGTTAGCACGTTTGAGGCAGGCCTTGCTTCACTCTCCAGTATTGTATACGTACAAATGCACACACTAAGACTGTGCCTTCAAATTACCTGGGATTATTTCCATGGAAAGGGCACAGTACTTTCCCCAAATTTGGACTTCCAAAGTATTCATGTGTTATAAAAATTACCAAGAAATAGGCATCTTGGGGCTGTTGAGATGGTTCACCAGGTAAAGGTGCTGGCTGCCAAGCCTGAAGACCTGAGTTTGATCCCTGAAACCCATATGATAGGAGAAAACCAACTCCCACAAGTTGTCCTCTGACCTCCACATGCCCCCTCATATACACACAGACACCCCACCTAATAAATAAATAGATATAAAAAGTATGTTTAAGCCAGGTAGTGGTGGTGCACGCCTTTAATTCCAGCTCTCGAGAGGCAGAGACAGTGGTAATCTGTGAGTTCAAGACCAGCCTGATCTATAGAGAAAACCTTATTTGAAAAAACAAAAAAACAAAAACAAAAACAAAAAAGATGGCTTGGCTTTATTTTTGTTAGCTTCCAGTTCAGTTTTGTTATTTATTCCATTAAGGCAGTTTATTACCTACCTTGGAGAGACAATTCATTTTTTCTAAGCCAAGTTACTATTCTGCTCACATGCTAAATGCAGTTGAAAGCAAAGTGCCCCCTTTTCCAAGAAAAGACGATGTGTTTTTTTCTAAGCCCAGTTACTGTTCTGCCTGATGTGACATCATTTTCATATTCCTTCTTCACAGAGTCTCAGTGTCTGCAATTAGGTTAGGAAAACATGGCAGGGAGAAGGACACCATGGCTCTGCAATACAACATTCTGGGTTTCTGGGCAGGGGATGCAACTTCTTGATAACACACTTGCCTAGCCAGCTTGAGTCTGAGTTGGAGCCCAACCCTGAAAAAAAACAAGGAATGCCCCTCATTCAGCAGGATTCTGCCAGATGGCTCTTCAGGAACCAGTTAGCATGTTTTCTGTCTTTAACTTTCCTAAAAATAGGGTGACTATTTTCACTGAAGGGCTATAAAAAAAAAAAGCGTAGTCTTGTATTGATTTTACATGTTGGCACTGCAGGCTCCATTTCCCAATACTCAATAGAAAATGATTTCTATAGTTCCTACAAAGAATGTACCATGCCTTAAAAATAACTTCCAAATTCTTTCCTTCCCCCAAGCACTGGCGGCAGCTGTGGGAGATGAATAACACATCTAGCTCTGACAGATACCTATATCTTGCAGGAAGAAGGCTACAGTCTTGAATCCCTGGTGGAGGACGGACTCTACCATTCTCTGGTCTTGCCCCTGATGATGAAAGTGTGACTGCTGGCTTCTTCATGAGCTCCAGAGGTCACAGCACGCTCCCACGGACTCTCATGGCTCCTCGGATGATTTCCGAGGGAGACATAGGAGGCATTGCTCAGATCACCTCCTCTCTCTTCTTGGGCAGAGGCAGTGTGGCCTCCAACCGGCACCTCCTCCAGGCCCGGGGTATCACCTGCATCGTGAATGCTACCATTGAGATCCCCAACTTCAACTGGCCCCAGTTTGAATATGTTAAAGTGCCTCTGGCTGACATTCCTCATGCCCCCATTAGACTGTACTTTGACATGGTGGCCGACAAGATCCACAGTGTGAGCAAGAAGCATGGGGCTACCTTGGTGCACTGTGCTGCAGGAGTGAGCCGTTCGGCCACCCTCTGTATTGCGTACCTGATGAAATTCCACAATGTGTGCCTGTTGGAGGCATACAACTGGGTGAAAGCCCGAAGGCCTGTCATCAGGCCCAACGTGGGCTTCTGGAGGCAGCTGATAGACTACGAAAGCCAGCTCTTTGGGAAGTCGACGGTTAAGATGGTACAGACACCCTATGGTGTCATTCCAGACGTTTACGAGAAGGAGTCCCGACACCTGATGCCTTACTGGGGGATTTAGTGCTGCCACAGCTGGCATCCACAGCCCCTCAGCAGTACCAGCATCTGCCACACACAGTCTTCTCCCCTCTGCCTCTCTCTGGTTCTCCCGAGAGTGTTTCTACACTGGTGTTCAGGTTTAAGAGACAGGGAGGGGAAATACATACATTGCTAGTAACGTTTTTTTAAAACTAGCATTTTGAAATAGCAAACATGAAAATCTTTAACTGGCCTTTACTCATTTATAACAGCATAGGATACTGTTCCTGCTTTCTTTCTGTCTCCCAAGCCTTTTGGAGTCTTGGCAGGTGCAGGAGTTCATTGCAAAGATCACTTAGGGCCCTGATTAACCCTCTAGAGACCAGCTTTGCCCATGGCTGCCAGCTAGACTGATGTTTAGGGGATACCAAGGCCAGCTCAGTCTCTATTGGATTAGCATGGTCTTTTCTTTTCCTCTGTTATTTAGCAATTCTATAAGTTAACCATTGTTATTTAGTTGATAAGTAATTATGATGAAATCTGTTGCAAAGACCCTCTTGAAATCTGTGCCCTGGGATTATTTTAGCATTATTTTTAATAAACCTGTCTGCTTAACATAAGCTCTTTACTGATCATTTCAGGTGTGTGTGTATGTGTGTCAGTGGAAGAAAGGTGTTCTCCAGTCACTGTTCAGTTGTAGCCATTAGGACAGTCATGGTCAGCACTTAAAGTAGAAACCCCAGCCGAATCATGTCAGCAATTCACACCCCTGCAGACAAGCAGAAATCAGTATCATCCGCATGTGGGAACAGTATAGAGCAGGTGTGTCTAACCTGCAGCTTATGAGCAGTAAGATCCCAGGATAGAATGTGGCCCCACACTGTAGCAGACAAAAGTCAGACATGTCACAATGTCAAAAGGTTGGGCACCCCGGTGGCAAGTGCGCGCGCGCACACATACACACACACACACACACACACACACACACACACACACACACAGATAAAAGGTGCTGCGTTCCATTTTATCTTGGTAAATCAAAGTTTCAAGTCCACCATCAAAGTAAACAGAGAAGATAGCTGGGCGGTGTTGGTGCACACCTTTAATCCTAGCATTTGGGAGGCAGAGGCAGGTGGATCTCTGAGTTTGAGGCCAGCCTGATCTACAGAGCTAGCTCCAGGATAGCCAGGGCTACATAAAGAAACCTTGTCTCGAAAAACCAAAAAGACACAAAACAAAACAAAAAAACACACACAACAGAAGACATGCCTCTGCTCACACAGCAACACAAAACTGTTCTGTCTACAGCTAGCCACAGTACAAGCATACATCATTATCTATATAGGAAATTTTAGAACAGTTTCTCTGGGAGATCAGAGGAGCATACATGCAACATTAGTACTTGACCAAAAACAACACAAGGAGACTGGCTTCTTAGCTTGACGCCAGGCTTTAAGTCAGGCAGTCTCTGAATAGGAGCACCATAGTAATCACAGCACTATAGAAAGAAAATACTTGCTGACATTCCTTGTAATTAGGAAAAACTTTCCTGTGAAAATCTTGGCAAGGACTGGGGAGAAGGCTTGGTTGGTAAAGTGCTTGTTGTGCAAACATAAGGACCTGAGTTCATTTCCAGAACCCACATAAAATGCCAGGTATGCACTCCAGTCCCTCATCTCCTCCAAGCCCAACCCCATCAGGGTCATCGCCAGCTCTGCAGCAGGACGAGTGCTGCAGCCTCCCTTCCCCTGCCCCCATTCTCCAGTGGCTCACACAGGTCTGCCCCTCCCACTTCCCAGTGGCTCACGCAGGTCTGCCCCTCCCACTTCCCAGTGGCTCACGCAGGTCTGCCCCTCCCACTTCCCAGTGGCTCACGCAGGTCTGCTCCTCCCACTTCCCAGTGGCTCACGCAGGTCTGCCCCTCCCACTTCCCAGTGGCTCACGCAGGTCTGCCCCTCCCACTTCCCAGTGGCTCACGCAGGTCTGCCCCTCCCACTTCCCAGTGGCTCACGCAGGTCTGCCCCTCCCACTTCCCAGTGGCTCACGCAGGTCTGCTCCTCCCACTTCCCAGTGGCTCACGCAGGTCTGCTCCTCCCACTTCCCAGTGGCTCACGCAGGTCTGCCCCTCCCACTTCCCAGTGGCTCACGCAGGTCTGCTCCTCCCACTTCCCAGTGGCTCACGCAGGTCTGCTCCTCCCACTTCCCAGTGGCTCACACAGGTCTGCCCCTCCCACTTCCCTCTCCTCCCTCACTGCTTTATCTCACCTTCCTAGCAGGCACTCCCTGGGAACCGTAGTTCTCTAACAGGGGAAGCAAGTAGGCTCGGTGCAGTTTTACCTCTCCTTCTCTTCCTGCAAGTCAAATCCCCCAGTCTTGTTCCCAGCTCCGTAGCAGACCTTCTGTTGTGACTCTCCTCATTTTCTCCCCATTCCCAGGGGTCTAAGTGGACCCTGGTGGAACACCCTGCATTCCCCATGTGGACCCCTCACCTCCCCAGACCATCTCCACTCCTAAGTGTCAGTTCCCAATACCCAGAAACCATTTTACCTGGAACTACCAGTGGCCACACCTAATCAGGATCTGAGGAGAATTTCCTACCAGGTCAACACTCTCCTAAAAACTAGAGAGGACAACAGAAGCCACGGAATCTACCCAACAAAGACAAGATCATATATCAGCACCCAGGGTTACAATCTTCCCAATCCCGAATGCCTAGACACCTGTGTAAAAACATGGTAACAGCCGGGACACATCTTCACTAGAGCCCGACAACCCTACCACAGAAAGCCCTGAGTAGTTCAACATAGCTGAAGCACAAGAAAGAAATCTTAAAATAGCCTTTAAGAATATGTTAGAGGTCCTTAAAGAGGAAATTAATAAATCCCTTAAATCTATGAAAACACAAACAATAGGAGGAAATAAAAAAACCAAAAACAGTTCAGGACCTGAAAATGGAAAAAGAATCAATGTAAGAAAACCCAGACCCCCTGAACATAGGTGTCAGTGAGAAGGCCTAGGTAATCTATTGAGCCTTGAGTAGTATTTATCCCGGGTATACAAATGGACTTTGGACTCCTATCTAACAATGAGAGACGCACTCTCACCCTGAACTCTTGGGGGAGGGTCTAGGCCCTGCCCTGGATGAAATGAAAGACTATGGACACCCCCATGGAGGGCCTCACCCTTCCTGGGGAATGAGGGGATATTGGGGGGGTTGGTGAGAGGACACAGGAGGGGAGAGAAACGGAGAGGGACCTGGAATTGACATGTGAAGCAACCTTGTTTCTAATTTAAATTTAAATTTAAATTTAAAAATAAAAAAAAATATATATATGTATGTATGTATGTATAAGAAAACCTAAATGGAGGGGAATCTAGAAACGAAAAATGTAGGAACTTGAACAGGAATCTCAGAGGCAAGTCTTGTCAACAAAATACAAGAGATGGAAGAGAGAATCTCAGGTATTCAAGACCCAATGGCAGAAGAAATAGATACCTCAGTGAAAGAAAATGTTAAATCTAAAAAAAATCCTGGCACAAGATATCCAGGAAATATGGGACACTAAGATCAAACTGAAAAATACAGGAAGGAGAAGAAACTCATGTCAAAGGCACAGGAAATATTTTCAACAAAATAATAGAAGAAAATTTCCCTAACCTAAATAAGGAGGTGCCAATTAAGACACAAGAAGCATACAGAACACCACATAGACCGGACCAGAAAAGAAATGCCCCTTGCCACATAATAATCAAAGCACTAAATGTACAGAAAAGAGAATATTAAAGCTCCAAGGGAAATGGACCAAATAACATATAAAGTGCCACAGACGCTGAGTCCACAATACTATACCCAGAAAAATCGCCAATCACAGTAGATGGAGAAAGCCATGATAAAACAAAAAAAATTTTTTTTGGTTTTTACAAGACAGGGTTTCTCTGTATTGTTTTGGAGGCTATCGGTCCAGCCCGGCCTCGAACTCACAGAGATCCGCCTGCCTCTGCCTCCCGAGTGCTGGGATTAAAGGCGTGCGCCACCACCGCCTGGCAGATAAAACAAAATTTAAGCAATTTTCTATCCATAAACCCAGCCCTACAGAAGGCCCTAGTAGGGAAATTCCAAACCAAAGAGATTAACTATGCCAGGAGGTGGTGGTGCATGCAGTTAATTCCAGCACTCAGGAGGCAGAGGCAGGCAGGTCTCTGAGTTTGAGGACAGCCTGGTCTACAGAGAGAGTTCCAGGACAGCCTGGGCTACATAGAGAAACCCTGTCTGGGAGAAAAAACAAAACACAAAACTAACAAAGAGGTTAACTATACCCAAGGAAAAACATGGAATAAAAGGGAACAAATCATCCCAGACCATCAAATAAGAGAGAAGCACACATCCACACACAACAACAACAACAACAAAATAAAAGGAATCAACAATAGTACTCATAGGTATTTCTTGACATCAATGATTTCAAATCCTCAGTAAAAAGACACAGACTACAGAATATATGTAAAAACAGGATCCATCCTTAACTAGTGGATACAGACAGATCTTGTTAGAAAAGGGAAATAGAATAGATAGTTATGGATGGGAGGGCTGGAACAGAAGGATCAAGTAGGGAAGGGGCAATAGAGGGATAAGGAAGGGAATGTGATGAGAGACAGCTAAAAGTAAGGGCCATTTGAGGGGTAGCACGGAAACCTAATACAGTAGGAGCTTCCTAAAATATATACATACATGAAAGTGATTTAAATGAAATCATCAAATAATGAGGGAGACAAAGTCCCAACTGAACATCTCTTGTCACCAAATCAAGATTCCAGAACCAGGGCTGGGTTATATTTCATTGGATTGTTGACCAAAAGGGTCTCATGGGAATCCCCAGATCACCCAAACTGTTGCCAAGAGTATAAATTGTTCTCCACAAACTGACAGCAAGGCCCCATTGCTGAAAGACACCTACACAACTCATTGAAGATGGAGAAGTCAAATTGATGCCTATATAGAGCCTTCATCCCTGTGTTCTAGCATCTTTGGTACAGGAAGGTACTTGGCACACTATCAAAAGAGAAGTGTGTCAAGCCACAAATCCTTTGATCTACAATGGTGTCCTGTAGAGAGAAGCCTTTTCCTTGCTAGCTGCTTTGGTTTATCCCCGCCAGTCGCCTGGGCTTTGCCGCATTGTAGTCCCCAAATAACACAAAAGATGCTGTATTAATTATGAAGCTGTTGGCCTTGCTTGTTTCTTACTGGATATCTCTGACTTAAGTATTTACCCCATAACTGCCAATCTAAGTATTTCTCTTACCGGAGAAAAGTTTCCGGGCTTCTTACCCCTATGGCGGTTACATCTTGACTCTCTGTGTTTCTCCTTCCCAGAGTACTCCTCGACTCCTAGTCCCACCTATCTTGCTTCCCTATTGGCCAACAGTGCTTTATTGACATATACACAGGATTTCCCCATTAGTGTCCTGCCTGAAAAATACGCTAGGGCAATGGTGACACAAAGCTTATGGCCACTCCACAAGATGGGACCTATACCCAACATTGTTGGGGTGACCAAGAAACCAGATAGCCCAGGGACCTAGGGAGGGCTCTGGGAAACCAATGGAAGAGGAGGCAGAAAGAGTGTAAGAGTCAGAGGGAATGGAGGACACCAAGAAAGCAATGCCCTCTAAGTCAACACGAGCAAAGCTCATACGAACTCGCAGAGAACGAGTCAGCAAGCGCAGGGCCTGCACATGTCTGCACCAGGGTCTCTGCATGCACCAGTTAGCCTTTTTTTATGGATTTCTGAGTGTGAGAAAGAGTGGGTCTCTGATTCTTGTGCCTTCACTCAGGCTCTTTTCCTTCTGTTTGTCTTGTCCAACTTTGATGTGTTAGTTTTTGCTTTCTCCCATATTTTATTATTTTCTCTTAGCCTGGTTTTTTTTCTGAGAGATAGAAAGGGAGTGGATCTGAATTTTGGGGAGGGTAGATGGGAAGGAACTGGGAGGAGGAGAGAGAGGGGAAACCATAATCAGGATATATTATGTGAGAAAAATTAATTTCAGTAAAAGGGAAAAAATAAAGGAGAAATGCTAGGTGGTGGCACACATTTGTAATCTCAGTGTTGGGGAGGTCGACACTGGGGCCTTTCAGCCAGCCCGGCCTACTTAGTAAGTTCCAGGCCATCGGTCCCTCCTGACCTGCTGCCTCTTTCCTAAAGTCTCTCCCTCCTCCTCTTTGCTCTGCTCCTGGGTCCCTCCCCACCTGGGGAATGACACCCACGGTCATCCTTTGATAGGAACAAATGGCAGTAACTCCCTCAAAAGACATCCAGGTAAACATTAGCACTGGGATGCAACTACAGGTGTCCTCGAGCACCTGGAAGTGGACCGCCCTCCTCAGTGCTTTGTTCTGTGTTCATCTGTGATCTCACCTGTGGAATTTTAACCCAACAAAAAAAAGGGCTGCAGTCTGAAGTTGGGGTGTTTCCTGTTAGAGAGAGGGCAGCTTAGAACTAGCATGAGTGGATTTAGACTTCCAGTTCTACAGTGCATAAACACGGCAATTAAGAGTAGTTGTTTATTAAAATGTAGACAAAGGGGAAAGGCGGCACACCGTCTTTTAACATTTGGGACCACATTCCAGATCACACACAAGACATGCTTCATGGACTTGCAACATTCCTCCGGCTAACAAAGCCACAGCTATGACCTGAGAGGTGAATGCTTTGTCAGTCACTTGTACTATATTCAACATAAAAGAATGAAACTAAGTAAAACAATTTTTATGATACTTTGTTAGAAAAGTATTTGTAAACTGGCATTTACAAAACAAACTATGAGCTGTTTCACTTAGGTCCTATTTCCTTGGCTAGACTTTGGAAGGAGGAGGGGCTTTTCAATATCATTTGGTGAACCCTTTTCCGAGGAAATGGTACCCAATCTAGACACAAAACCACAGGCTACACACATCTTGACCTGTACTCTGATATCCGCTGGAATGTCTCCAGCAGGCTCCAGTGGCCCCTTCTTTAGGACAAATGCCTGGAAATGTGAGTTCATTTATGAACTGTTAACAAAAGGTGTCTGACTGGAGATACTTAGGAGAATTCTCAGAGAGACCCTGGTACAAAGCAAGAATTTCCAATACCTGTTTTCAAGAAATCTTTTTGATGACACATAAACAGATAAACAGGAAATAAGACCAAACATAAAAACAAGCAAAACCCAAACACCCGAAATATGTATAGCAACACAAAATATTAATTTAAAAATGTGCATCCCAGAGGGAATGCTAACTAGCAGACACAGAAAAGGAAGACAGAGGTAATATCTGAGCATGCCTTGAGCCTCCTCTGTCTCAAGCATGTCCAGACACAGGTCACACACCAACCCACAGGCAGGGAAAGGCAGAGCACAGTTCCCAAACCGAGTGGTGCTTATTAATCTCCATTCAAGCAGTGGGTGAAGCTGCCTGACACAATGCACAGTATGCAGATAAGTAACCTTGGTTACTGTTTCCAAGGACACTGGGCTTTTGGCTAACAAGAAAAGAGCTGAGGTGAAGCTGAATGCTACGTGAATCATTTTAATACATGCACACAAGGAAAACCAGCCTGCTAATAGTCTACACTCCCCCAAATCCCTGGTGGAAGTATCTAACTAAATATCTTAAAGTATTAAACAGCCAATATTTTTCATGGTAAAAGATTTTCGTCTATGTCTATTGAATTTTCCTCTGGCACCTCCTAAGGAGTAAGTAACCCTACGGGTAAGGAGTTTTAACATAGGTATTCTGGAATAAATCTACAAGTGGAGACAATCTAGCTAACAGGTACTTAAGATGTCATCGATACAGGCCACTGTGTAGTCAACACTTCACCATAGCATTTCCAGAAAATGCTTCAGCAGTGTAAATGTAGCTAAACTGGGAATATTCTTTGGTTAAGGTCAATCCTATTGTTCTTATGAGGGAATAATCTAGAATACAGACTGGAGAGCCCGATTGCTGTTCTGGGCCATGGTGAAACACTAGTGGTGCTGTTTCAGGGGCTGCTGAAAACCAACCCACCTGCGTGTGCGCACTGGAGCCTCCCCGCTCCACCAGCCCCGGGCCGGGCAGGGAAAGGCCTCGTGGTCACAGTGCAGACAGATGTCTGGATGTTAGCAGTGCAGATGACATCATCTGGAACAGCTGAGTAAGTGGATTCATCAGCTCTTCTCTCTGCATTGCTCTTCAGCAAGGCCAGGAGAAGCACCATCAACAGGTGAAAATGACCAGTATCTTGGAGCAAATACAAGAAGGAACAACACAGAATAGTTTTGCCCTGGAAGGGGAAATGGTGAATTTTGTAGACGCAGCAGTGAGATAGACTAAACCCAGTGTTTTAGATTTTCAAATAAAAACTAAATCAGGTCAGCAAAGCATGTAGGACCTGAAGTCTGTCTCAATGCACAAATTAACAGCCAGAGCCCCAGACTGCTGGGCTTTTCCTGGGAGTAACACTTTTTAACCACTGAAGCTTCAGGTCTCTTAGTTTCATGCATTTTGTTTACATGACAAATGCCTACACCAGTGTGAGCCTTTTCATTTGAAAATTCAGTGCTGTTGCTGTTTTCCTATGTTGCATCTAAGGTATGTTTCTCTAACACACACACACACACACACACACACACACACACACACACACACACACACACCTTACTGTTCCTCTCACAAGGCCAATGGTTCCCAACCTGTGGGTCACAACCCTGGGGGAGACGGACAACATCAAATGCCACTTTCACAGGGGTCACATATCAGATATCCAGCATATCAGATATTTATATTACAATTCATAACAGTAGCAATGTTACACTTATGAAGTAGCAATGAAAATAAGTTGGGGTCACTACAACATGAGGAAGTGTATTAAAGGTCACAGCATTAGGAAGGCTGAGAACTACCACACTAGACCCAAAACTCCATTCTCTCCACTTGCTGGCCCCTATGCAGCCATCTTTGGGAATGTGGAGAGAGGTCACTATGAAGAGATTTCATTCCACAGCTGTTAGAGACTTTTCTTTTGGAGGAAAAACACCATGGTTTGTACCAGTCTTTTTTGTTTTTTCGAGACAGGGTTTCTCTGTGTTGTGCCAGTCTTGATGTTGAGGCAAAATGGCAGGATCTCAGTAAAGGCTCCAAGGAGAAGGGTGTGCATCTGATTCAGGCTCTGGGGATGGTTTCCTTGAGAGCTAGTTTCAGGGGAGGAGAAGAGGGTGAGGTTTGACAGGAATGGGGAGTTATGCCCTCCTTGCCTGCCACTGTCCAGTGGAGACAAGTCCAGAGTGTCAGTTTAATCACAATCCCCTTTTATTTCAAGTATTTACAAGAAAAATGCAGAAAGATGTGTCCTGCTTCATGGGACCCTGAAGTTGGAGATGTAAGCGAGCACTGGCTGGAGACAAACTTGCAGATTCCAGTGCTAGGATAACTTACTTTTCCTCTTTTGTCAATTTTTCACAGTTTAAACACTTCAGCAGCAGATTACTCCTTACAGAAAACTGTGGTCCATATTTTAAAATATCTTAAGAGAAATAGGGTATGGTGGCACATGCCTGTGACCCAGCACTTGGGAGGCAGAGACAGGAGGATCGCTACAAATTCAAGTCAGCCAGGGGCATGCATCAAGACCCTATCCTTAAAAAAAAAAGTCAAACCAACATCACCATCAACAAAAACCAGAAGAGATAAGCAAACAAGTGTCCAGTGTCACGTGCAATTTAGGTCTACCAATTAACCTCAGGCTACAAAGGGGTAGGGGAAGCAGTGGTCAAAGGCTGTCTGATGGGAACCTCCATTGCAGTTTTCTACCCCACCTCTTGGGGAATGCTTCAATGAGATGGATGGAAGGGAATTTTGCAGTACTTGTATTCTGTTTATTGATCCCTGTCACCCCTAGTCATGTGACAAAAACAACCAAACATCAACTGGAGCTTCACTGAGAAACTTTCAGAGCAGATCTGGCAGGAGGAGGCCAGGAGGCTTGGGTTCGACACAGTTGATCCAGAAGTTGGCACAGCTGGCGTGGTACTGGTGTCCTCCATAGGCAAGCTTGAAACTGTCTGTTTCCGAGTTGAATGCCTGCCAGAAATAGATATGGGTCAAGTCAGGTTCTTCCTACATCTAAGAGTTTGTCAGCAGCCGCCACAGGCAATCCCCAGGTGCACAGAGGCCCAGGCCGGAATGGCACACACAGACAAAAGTTGAGCAGGTGGCTATAGGATTCAAGTAAGAAGGTCTTATTTATTTTTTTTATTGCTAATTAAAGGTATAAGAGTCGGTACCATTCAACCTAGTTTCAGCAAAGGGCCCAATCTTCACAGAAAAGACAGGGAAGGTGACAGGAGGGAGGAATGGGCAGGACACAGGCACTAAAATAGTCAGGGGAATTGGTTCCCTCCCTGGAGGCTGCCATAAATGAAACATGTGGCCCCTTAGAGTTCCATGGCTGGTGTCAGTCCTATCAGGAATGAAAACATTTAAAAGAACTAGAAATGAACTGATCCTAATGCTTACAGGCTAATGCCATGGTTACAATACATAACAGTGGCAAAATTACAGTTATGAAGTAGCAACAAAATAATTTTGTGGCTGGGGTCACCACAACATGAGAAACTGTATTAAAGGGCATAAGTTTTAGGAAGGTTAAGAACCACTGGTCTAATGCCATTGGGAGCTGACAACTGAGTGGACATACAACAGTCCCCTTCGTCTGTAGCTCTGGTTACCTATTTAACATTCTGCTGTTTGCTTTCTTAAACACCACAGATAAAACCTTAAAATCCAAATGATTTGTTTTGAAGCTCTCTGATCTCATTCATTCTGTGTGTCACTACAGCTTCTAGTCTTCCAGAAGGTGCTGGTTCATGGCAGAGAAAAATGACAACACCAGAAGCTGATTAGCTGTTACAAGCGTGCAAACAAGACAGCAGTGGCTTCATGTAGACACATTAGTTGGTTTGATCAAACATTACGGGGACAAAAATGAGTCAGTAGAGGATTCACGATTGGCACTGCCAGGACAACAACAGAATTGCCTGTTGACCTCTTACACAAGGCTGAGACGGACACACTAAGGTAACCTGTAACTGGCTCATACATTTTTAGGCTGTTCTGTTGCAGGCTTCTCTTCTTTCTGAAATGTTGAAACCATACGGTCAAAAAACAAAAAAACAAAAAACAAAAAACAAACCAACCCATGTCCCTAGAACAGGCCTCTTGCCTCTTTCCTCCAGGTACATCCACATGGCTTGCCATGTTCTCCTCCAGCCCCTGTTAATGGGTGCTGTAGAGACCCTGTGAACCACATGCTCAGCAGGGAGGGGAGGACTTTGTCCACTCCCTTCCTCAGCAGCTTCCCTACTGCCCCATGGAAAAACCAGGTCTGCTTCTATAGAACTTTCTAGACTTCCAAATCCCCACCTCTGGTCACAGAGCTTGTTGTAAAGTGGGTTACATGTGGCTGTCCCCCAGGTCACATTAGCGGTGAACCTTGACACTTGGAAGGGGAAGTCAAGAACTTACCCGGCTCCTAGAGTCCACATTTAAGAGACACACCCCACAAGCCAGTTCCTGAGCGTTCTTAATCCCAGGTCGTAACATACAGGAGGAAAAATCCAGTGAATTTTCATCTGGCTGAGGATGACAGGAAAGATGGATAAGGACATAGCAATTTCAGATGCTGTGTAGGTCAACTACAATGTTAAGTCAGCTAATAACACAAGTGCTTACTTCCTAGATCTGCCAACCAGTTGCTATGTTCTAGCTGCTAGCGATGCCTGTGGGAAGAAAACCACTCCACAGCCTGGGGACCTCACAGTCTAGGGTGGAGCTGGGGGTGGGTGTCAAGCAATGCAAGGCCAATGGTGCTACAGTACTTACTTTGGGATGAGTACTGAGTGTCCAGGCACTCAACGGGGGCACTTAGCCAAGAGAATGCTTCCTGGAACTCACAATCACCCTGCCTGAGTATTGATGAGACTACCAAAGGACAGGTCAGTGGGTTAATGGGGTGATGAGTCGGGTGCAGTAGGAGAAGGGAAGGATGTCACTTTCACACACAAGCAGCGCAAAGCAAAGACATCTAAGCAAAGTCCAGCTATGAGGAGAATTGAAGGTGGGAGCCAAGCCCCGGAGAGTGGAGGGGGACGAGGCTAGAGCACCAAGGAACCACAGAGAAACGATAGGAGGTGAGACAGGACAAAGTATACATTGCAGGCACAACCCCGTCTTCTTATGACAGTGTCAGCGAGAGATTGGGGGTGGCAGTCCTCAAGGTACAGCTTCTTCAGCTAGACGACTGCTAAGACAACAGAGGGGAAGGGCAGGGGGGCGCATGCAAGGGCTCAGAAGGGGGCAGAACCCACAGGCCGTGGGCATGTGCAGGAGATAAAGAAGGGAGGCCTGGGCAGTTCAGGAGATTCCCTGTGCCCAAGGACAGAAGAGAGCATAGTTTGGTTCGGGCTGAGTTGCAGCTGCCAAGGTCACAAGGGCAGTGGTGGAGGCGTGAGGTCCAGATAATGCTATGAGTGAGACGGAAAGTCAGCGGCTAGAGACAGTAAATGGAATAGCTGCAGGCAGGCGTATGCTAAGTACTATGTTTGCTCAGCTCTTTATACCCAAACAGACAACGACAAAAGTCTATGAAATATGGGGAGTGTAATGCAGCGATTAAAGGGGCAGGTCTCAGTTTCTTAAAGATTAAATACAGATCTGCTATGTGCTTGCAATTTTATTCCTAGATATTTATCTAAGAAAAAAGAAAACATATGTCAACAAATCTTGTTCCAAAACAAACAAACAAACAAACAAACAAAAAACCAAACCATTCATAGCAACTGTATCCATATTAGCTAAATCTGGCACTAACTAGTGTCTAATAAGAAGAAGATGGATAACAAGTTGTGATGTATTCATACAATACACTACTACTCAGCCAGGGAGCAAAGTGACATTTGATCAACATGACTGCATTTCAATATTATGCTCCTAAGCAAGCCAGATACAAGAGTGCTAACATTTGATGTCATTTCATGTTTATAAAGAATTAAAACAGAGGAGTCTCTGGCTATGGAAATCAGGTCAGTGGTGGCTTTTGAAATCAGATCAGGGGTTGACTATGAAAGAGCTGGAATGAACTTTAGGAAGAGATGAAAATATTCTGAATATTTTCCAGGCCTTAAGGTCCTCCTGGCATAGGACCTTAATTAGAGCACTCAGGAAGCAGAGGCAGGCAGGTCTGGGTGAGTTGGAGGCTAGCCTGGTTTATATAGTTCCAGGCAAGGCAGGGCTACATAGTGAGTGAGACCCTGTCTTAAAAAAACAAAACTAGGACTGGAGAGATGGCTCAGAGGTTAAGAGCACCAACTGCTCTTCCAGAGGTCCTGAGTTCAATTCCCAGCAACCACATGGTGGCTCACAACCATCCATAATGAGATCTGGTGCCCTCTGCTGGCATGCAGACATACATGGAGGCAGGATGTTGTATTCATAATAAATAAATACATCTTAAAAAAAAAACAAAACCCAAAACCAGCCAGGCAGTAATGGTGCACACCTTTAATCCCAACACTTGGGAGTCACAGGCAGGAGGATCTCAGTGAGTTTGAGGCCAGACTGGTCTACAAAGCAAGTTCCAGGACAGCCAGGACTGTTACGCAGAGAAACCCTGTCTTGAAAAACCAAAACAACAACAACAACAACAACAACAACAACAAAACCCAAATGAACCAACCCCCACCCACAAAAAACAAAAACCAAACCAAACAAAACTCCTCAAAAACTAAAACAGCAGCAGAGAATACCTGTTTACCTCATTGTAAATTCCATACTGCCAAATGATTTTCACAGAACATTTTTTTTCATTTTTCCCCATCCTTTGGATTCATAGTCAACTTTTGTTTTCACAAATAAGTATAATACTGGCATGAATGTTGGTGACTTAAATTTTTAATAATTTTTATGTGTATGGGTTCTTTGCCTGTATCTCTGTACCACATGCAGCAGTGCCCATGGACACCAGAAGAGGGTGCCAGATCCCCTGGAGCTGGAGTTAGAGGTGGTTATGAGCTGCCATGTGGGTGCTAGGAATTGAACCTGAGTCCTCTCCAAGAACAGCCAGTGCTCTCAGCCACTGACCCATATCCCCCACCCCCTAGACCTGATTAGACTTAAGGCTAAGCTGAAACAAAAAGAACATTCTGGAAACGTCACTGGTCAAAGACTTGAGTGACTGCTGGTTTCCTCAGCTTTTGTGCTATTCACAGGTGATAGCTTTAGATACATTCAAGATTTGCATCATCAGCATTTTTCTCAGCCACTTTCTTAAATATAAACAGTCAGTAAAACAATAAATCAAGCCCCAGGAAACATTTGCTGAGTTCCACATTATAAGTACCCCGTCATGGCTGACTCTCAAGCTTGCTGTGTGACATCATTGAACATGGAGCTGGAAAGGGCTGCCCAGCGCAGAGCTACCTGGTGACTATACCATCCAGAACTGCTACTCTAGGCTGACCAAGATTAGGTTGACCAACCGCTACTCTCGGCTGCATTTACTCAAAATTGTTCTGACTTTAGCATCAAATTAACTTCCCCAGTCCAGAGCATAAGGAGCATGTTACCATATCAGGGACTGTTGGAGAAATAACTAGAAAATAATTAAACTGTGAGACTTGAAATCAGTCAAATTGCCGGGCGGTGGTGGCGCACGCCTTTAATCCCAGCACTCGGGAGGCAGAGGCAGGTGGATCTCTGTGAGTTCGAGGCCAGCTTGGTCTACAAGAGCTAGTTCCAGGACAGTCTCCAAAGCCACAGAGAAACCCTGTCTTGAAAAACAAAAAACAAACAAACAAAAAAAGAAATCAGTCAAATTAATAAAAAGTCTTTTACTATCTGTTTATGGGGTGCACAGGAAAGCAAATGGTAAGGGCGCACTGTAAGTTGCCAGAACCATAGGCTTTGCATAAACTATCTGTGATTAAATTAATCTTCCAAATGGTAAAACGAGCTCTCCTAGGCAGGCAATGGTGGTGCACACCTTTAATCCCAGCTCCCAGGAGGTAGAGGCAGGTGAATTGTAGGCTAGCCTGATCTACAGATTGAGTTCCAGGTCAGTCAGGGCTTCACAGAGAAACCTTGTCTTAAACAAAACAAAACAAAAACAAATTAGCCCCCTTAAACACATATCTAAAAGCAGGGGATTATATTGTAATGTATAGTAGCAACTTGGCACCAACCATGGCCACAATTATAAATCATGCCTGCTATAGGCTGCTGTAAATTGACCATTAACTCCCCCCACCCCAGGCAGGGTTGACCATCAACTTTGATTGGAAAGTATTTCTTATATTTAGTAATGATTATATATACCAGCTTCTTTTTAAAACATTTATTTTTATATGTATGTGTGTTTTATCCAAATGCCTCTTCATGCCACATGCATCTAGTGCCATTGGATGTTGGGAGAGGGTGTCAGATCCTCTGGAACTGAAGTTAAGGTTAATTGTTTACCACCATGTAGGTGCTGTGAAGCAGTATGGTGGCTTGAATAAAAATGCCCCCTGTAGGCTCATATACTTGAATGTCTGGTCATCAGGGAGTAGCACTACTTGAGAAGGATTAGGAGGAGGTATGGCCTTATTGGAGAAAGTGTGTCACTGAGGGTGGGCTTTGAGGTTTCACATGCCCAAGTCAGGTCTAATGTTTCCTTCTTCCTGCTGTCTGTGTATCCAGATGTAGAACTTTCTGGGGCTTCTGCAGCACCATGTCTGTCTGCATGCTGCCATGGTCTCCAACGAGACATTAATGGGCTAGATATCTGAAACTGTTGAACCAGCCCCAATTAAACACTTTCTTTCATGAGTTGCTATGGCCAGGGTGTCTCTTCTCAGCAATAGAACACTGACTAAGACAAACATCAAGTGCTCCTAACTGCTGAGCCCATCTCTCCAGCCCTGGAACCCAGCTTCTTAAACTGTGGGTTATGGTCACCAAGATGGGTCACCTAACAGGATGTGGGAGTTTCAGGAAGTTGGCAACAGTAAAAGGTTTCTGACTATGCAACTCCAAAACTCTGATTCAGAACCAGATGCTAAAGAACTTGAGGTGTTTCTGATAGCACTCTTCCATGTATCACGTGATGTCACTGCACTGCACATGCTACCTGTCACATGCCAGTGAGTGCTGCCTTGAACACCCCGCTCAGATCCCAGACTCTGCTGTGAATTGCAGAGTTCTTACTGTACATACAAAGTCTTCTGTTTTTATAGAAACAAAATGCTTTAACTATAGAAAAAATCCTTTTTTGTTTTACGAGACAGGGTTTCTCTGTTTAGCTCTGGCTGTTGGTTGTTCTGGAACTAGTCTGTAGATTAGGCTGGCCTGGAACTCACAGAGATCTGCCTGCCTCTGCCTCCTAAATGCTGGGATTAAAGGTGTGTGCCACCAACACCTAGTTGAAAACAAATACTTTTAATATTTTTCTGCCACCATTATTTAGCATCTAAGTATCAAATTGGTGTATTTTTCTTTGGTTATATAGTTAGTGTTTGACTTAAAACTGGTGTTGAATTGCTGACTGGAATTTCATTAAAAGAACAGTAAATGAATTTTGGCTTGGGATCAGTATAAAATTT